TATATATATTAATAATTATTATTTTAAAATTTCTTTAATATATTCCTAAGATTATTAATATTTTATTTAATAATTAAATAATATATATATAATAGAATTAATAAAAATAAAAATAAAAAATAAAAATTCAAAAAAATAAAAAATTAAAAAATATATATAATAATTTTAATAAAAATAGAAAAATATAAAAAGATAAAGGTAAAAATAAAAAGAAATAGAGAAAATAAAGAAATTTTAGAAAAATAAAATAAAGAAATATTAATAACAAAAAAATAAGAAAAATAAAAAGCAGGAAAACCAAAAGTAGAGCAGAAAAACACAAAAACAGAGAAATAAATAAGTAGAAAAGCAAAGCAGTAAAAAAGCAGACAAGCAAGAAAGCATAAAATCAAAAACCCCCCCAAAAAAAACCCTCCGTATTGCATTTTAGAGCGGATCTCATCTATATATATATATATATTTATTATATTCTTTTTGTAAGATCATATTGCCGCAATATTGTTTCATCTTCATATTATTATTTTATCAAATATATTTTTAATGATATTATGTTTGATAGCATCGTTTCATAAATTTACCTCTTCCCTTCATCATTTCATCATACCACCAACCCCTCTACAACATCACTTCAACCCAGCATCACACACCAAACCTATAGGCATCCATTTGTTTTGATTCGTTCTTTTGGTGAGTTCTCTACAGTATACGTGGAAAATTCCATTGCATGCCTTGTGCATGTTCTACTTGCAAAATTAGATATGGGTAAAGAAGTACTTGTCGGAGATGGATGAAGACGAGCTACACGAAATCGCAACTTGGGAATTGATCACAGGTAAGTCCATTCCCCTTCCATGCCAGGTCTCGGCAAGGTTAGTACTGTAGGCATGAAGAGCAGAAAGGTTAGAAAAAACAAATTGAAGAGATAAGGAGTAATATGATTAACACAATAATAAACCATCCCCCAAATCACCATAAGTAGATGCTATAAACAATTCCCAAATGGGTAGTTATTGATTGTTTTAACCACATTACAGTAACTGATGTAACTGCGCATTGGCAAAGTCGAATCACTTCGAATCAATTCATTATGTCAAGGGGATCCAACACGTGTCACCGATCACCAAATTCATGTGTTGCCTTTGATGCTTTGCGTTTTCGTTGATGCTTGCGTCCCCCTTATGTTCAAACTAAGGCCGTCACCGTCTTATCATAATTAATACATCACATCAGTTTTGAGTAATTCCAAAATTCATTTGTGAATTTATATCACTTATCTGATCTCACAATATATGCAATCTCTTTTTATGCTTCTGCCAACTTAGTGCATTTGCTGGAATTCAAGTACCTGGCATGCTCCACTAGCTTCGAACGTCGAGATGTTTCTTTTGGGTGGTTCTGTGGAGGTTTATTTGTAGCTCAGAAAAACATACCCCATGATATAAGTGTACCAAAAAAGGGAGATACATACCCGAAAATAAACATACCCAATGACTACGAAGCATACCCAGCTGTATTGTTGGCCGACTGTATCCAACTGAGTTCCGGTAGGTCGGAACCGGCGTTTGCGAACAGGAAACCCGTCGTACCTTCTCTTGTAGCAACAAGGCAGCCATTGCATTGCCCACCATTTGCCCGTGCAATGTCACCTGCGAAGCAGTAAACCTTATATGTAACATCTAGCATCTATAGATATAGAGAAACATCATATAATATAGTTTATTCATGGTAGAATATGATACAATGATATCATACTTATATCAAGCTTATATCAGATTATATCAATTCATATATTAACGCGTATTATACGCGTTTGCAAGTAATTCAACGAATCGAATGTTTTTCGTGGAACATCCGTTGCCTGGAGCATTTTCGCGGGACCCTCTTCTCCAACATCAATCCTTGATCCAGACCTGCGACTCAGAAATGTTCGTCAATTCGTCAATACGGTTACGGTTAATGTTCCATCAAGATTCTGTCCCCTCTGTTAAATGACATGTTTGCTTTCACAAAAAAAAAAAAACTCGTCATTCCCTGGATCAATGAAAGTTCAAAGTCTGGTACCCTGAGTGGACTATGTAATGTGGACCATGCCATGCAGAACTCCCTCCGCAGCTTTGACTCCGTTCATTTCGGCCTCTGAGCTACTTCGCTCATAATGCCCCTAGGCACCAACACGTTGTGCAGAAGCTCCGAGGGCAAAAGGAGGGTCAACTCCGCCGAATTGATGCCCGAAGCCTGCGTTCGAAATTCCAACTTCGATGTGTAGGAGGTGTGTAGGAGGTGTGTAGGAGGTGTGTAGGAGGGGGATTCATGTCCACTTCGTGGTGATTGCAATCCAGGATAAACCTATGATGATTGGATTCAGTTTCTTGTTCGTTTTTGGATGAAATGAAGTTTGTATAGTCCAACAGGAAAATCGTGTATTGTGTGCAGAAAAATGTGTGGCAGCTTGCACTAAAGAGCAGGCCTGCAGTGCTGAGAAGAATGCTTCCTCACTGTTTCCCATTCCTGGCTTGAAGAGTACCAACAGGCAGTGTATAAACTATATGCACGTACACATAGATACTACACGGTCTATATATGTCTATATCATGTTCACCTTTCCTGCGGAAATCTGCCAAGAGCATCCACAACATGACAGGGTGGCCAGCATTTCCCGGGTTACCACCTGAATGGCCACTGCTCGGTGGCACTTGGGAGCCATTGGAGCCATTGGTGCCATTGGCACCGGACATCGACATTGGCTGAGCGGTGCCATTTCCATAGCCACCAGGGCCACCGGGGCCACCGGGGCCACCGGGGCCACCAGGCTGACTGCGGGGCACGGCATGGTCGCCACCAGATGGAGCTGGTGCCATGGGAGCCATTGGAGCCATGGTAGGGGCTGATGGATCCACCTTTCGGAAGTCGGTGTCCCTCAACTTCCCCCGGTCCATCATGTCCTGACCAAATCTAGAGAAGTTGCATGAAGTTGCTATGCTTTGATGTGCCTCCAGAATCAAAGCGTCAACACAGTCAGCACAGGTCATTTCATGATGTTTCAGCACTCCTGGAGCACGCTGTTGACACCTGAGACTGCCATAACAACCTGGCAAACTCAGAGAAAGGTACAGGTGAAACAAGCGAAACCTCGTACTGTAGAGGTTTTCCACTCCAACCTGATCCACAGTGCCATTGATGCTGATGGGCTGGTCCGGCATGCCAATAATGGCCTGCTCAGCGTGGCGTGGCCCATCGACCAAGGCCGTGGCATGGCTTCCATCTCCCGCCTCCCGACCCACATTGATTTCAGCACCTGACATTCAATTTCAGGAGGTGCCTGTTTCTTGCTCATGAACATATATATATATTGATCATGTAGTGATTGCAGTTCATAGAAATAAGTGGCGGATAAAACTGAGACTGAAAAACCCAAGCTGCTGGTTGGTTTCTCAATAGGGCTGTGGCCGGACTTCTCCATAATGGCCTTGATCTGGGCACCCTTGGTGCCAATCACCACCTAAGAAATGGATGGAAACTTCAATCGTGGGGGAATGACTCAAAGATACTCAAAGTATCATTTAAAATGCTCAAATGACTCAAATGGATTTTCCACCAGATACTGGAAATTTTCAAATATGCTGAAACCGTACAAGTGATATCTGATGCTCCAATCATCTGGAGAAAAAGGCAGCATGCAAAGGTTTCGGCTGGCACAGATATCTGCGGGATGATGATCACGAAAACTCCTGGCTCCATGTCAGTGACCTCAAGAACAGCAACTGGAGGTTTCCTAAAATGGGGGTACCCCCATTTATCGTCCATTTATAGATGGATTTTCCCTTATCAACCATCCAGCTATTGGGGTAGCCCCATGACGACCTGGAAACCTCACCAGAACTGAAAGGCAAACGGCCGCGATTTGGTGCTGAGAAGAGTACACCCTGCATCTGCCGCAGTTTACGCACTACCTGCATCGACTCTATTAGGCGTGGATGCACCAATCACTTTTCATGCCGTAGCCTCACGGCATGCCGCGTCTTTTGCTTGTGTTGAACCTGAGGCTATGGATCAAGGATGATCAAGGGCCTTTTTGAAGACAGGTCCAAAATTCTACCAAGGAAATCATGGAAAATCCGCCATCTTCCCATACAAGAGTACGCCTCTGTGAAGCTGAAAGCCCGTTCTCGGCATCTTGTGTTGATTATCTTTGCATGATCAAGGCTGTTCGTTTCATTTCCGCTACGTTGCTTTCTTTATCCCTGAAGTTCTAAAGATTGCAAACATTCAAGCCAACGGGCCAGCGATAATCACAATCTTGTCCGCAAGAGTGGCCGGTGCTTCTCCATCCTTCCGCACTGCATCAACAACGCTCATCCCCCAACATCACCGAACGAGGTATCGCATTCCAACATTATCAAAATGATGGAGAGGGAAGATGAAAGAGATTGAAAGAGTAGAGGTAGGGTAGACATGGGATGAAATGGGTACAGCGGCTACAGTTCTCGATGCTGCCCACAAGGTCATCGAGTCATCCTGGACACTCCTTCACATTCGACTCTCAGATAAAGCTGTATAAACTGCGCAATGTATCCCGTGGGGCCATGACTTCCCAACCGCTTCGCCTACTCACCTTCGCTAACAATATTGGACAGCATCTTGTCTGAGTACAACTGAAACATTGATCAAAATGGAAAGGCGGTGGTTATCGTTTTTCGCCTTTGGCCCCTTGGTTTCAAAACTTGTCTTGGGAGCATCGTTCAACAGCTACAGTTGTTCTTTACAGTCCTGAACGACTTGAGTGACTTGAGTGAATTAGTTGCAGGTAGTGGTTGCCATGTGCTGCCACAATGCGCCCAATTGCCTTCAAAATAGATAACGTAGCACCACACATTTCGCTCATTTGCCTCAACAGCAAGGCAACCGGCCGACTGTTTCCACAGAATACATGGCTGATTGCAAGTACCTGGATTGTTGTGTTTCTCCGGCAGTTTCACAACTTGCTCAATCTCAGAGCATCCTCTATCAGTGGCACATGCTGTCCGAAATCAAAGTCATTGCTTAATGATTGTGGAATCGGCAGGATCGCCGCCTGATTGTGGCACCCCCTTTGCCGATGATGAAGGACCTCAAATGCGTTGACGGCTCTCGTTTCTTTTTTCAAGATAGTTTGGGATGTCATGTTGATAAAATAGGACAAAGTGTCAAAGTCAGGTCATGATAACTACGGAGTAACTCTTCTCAGTCATGGTAGATTTAGCAAGTCCCTTCATCTTAGGCGATATCTAGGACCGCAGCCACGCATGGGCACTGGCTAGTCGGCAAAACATCTGCTGCTAGCTTCAGCAATGAACATCTACAACCGATCAGCAACACGGTCAGTGGAAGGCAAGAGCTAGATAGAGATAGAGCTAGATAGCGATAGGTCTCATCATTTGCAGTGATCTTTAAATGCATGTATTTGAAGCTATGAAGCTACAGTTTTCTCACACGTGTTCACTTGTCTATCTTAGTTTGTTCTCCAGTTTTCCATTTTATATTCTGCTCAAGGCGTAGTATGATCCCAAACACTTCCAACCATCGTTTCTGCCTAACTGCGTACATCGAGGGCCCAGCACGGAATCCGCTGGCACCAAGCAGCGGTACGGAACCTGCATTCCAGAAGCTGATGTGACCCGATTCGGCGATGCAAAATCAAATTCGACGTTGGAAGTGTTACAGTCATTTGTTATCAAGCAGGAAGCATTCTGTGTCAAACTTTCAAATGTCATCCGGATCCAAATTGCTCTGTACAGTAGCTGTGAGATCCTGAAATTCTACCTGTGAGGTGATTGGCTTGGATCCATAGACAAAATCACCACAGGTTTGTCACCAAACTCACATCGGCACACAGCCTCCATGACTGGCAATTAAACGCCTATAGCTCCTCGATCTTCGCGTTTTGACCGGTGGATTGAATTCTGTTCTGATCGTGTTGCCTCCACCTGTTTGGGTTGTCTCGCCACCGTTCCAATCGTGCCTCGTGCTAGATCAAATCTTTAGACTTTAGAACCGACTTTTGCAGGTGAAACTTGCTGAGAAAGAAGCTCTGATCATGCTGGTAGGAGTTTGTTCTTATGATTGATTGACCCACTTGCTGTCAAATGAACCTGGCCAACAAAATGCTCTTGCTAGATGTGCAACAATCTGGAAACGCTTTCAGCAGTAAAGCCAAAGGAAGTGCGAGAAAAACATTTGAACCCGACTGATGATGAGAATAGAGGAGCTTTCTCAAAAACCGACACTCTACAGGAGAAGCAAACCGAAGGCATCACTTATCGAGTCTCACTCAACGGCTACTTTTTGCACTCGACTCAACTTCATCTCGCGCTCATTCTCCAAATATTTGTCCATCTCCTGGGTGAAGTCATTAAAATCATACTGAAAGAACACAGCAATCTCAGGATGGACAAGCTTTGCACAGAAGCGTTCTAGGCTCCAAGCAAAGAAGTCCAGAAACCGTTTACTTCTGGGTCTTCAAGAACATCGCCTGCCAAACTCGTGTCCCTCCGAAAAACCGTAGGGTTTTTCAGCTGAAGATGGCCATGATTTATTGAAATTCATCACATTATTCACCATGATAGTCACATTATTCACCAGGTTTTGAGTATATCGTCCTCCTGCCTCGGTGAGAACCTCAGCACGGACCTCTGCCGCGCGCAATGCTCTGGCCTTGACGAGAATTTTGACCATGGATCGGTTGACGAAAGGCGATATTTTGGGGAGATACTGAATATGATGTTGTACAATATTATATACATATATAGAGAAGATACGCATGACAAGATATATCATATTGTCAGATGTATAAAACTTATAAGATACTTTTTGTATCGTTGTAATATACCCACTTCTCTTCCAAATACCCAATGCTAGTTACAAATCGAGACAATGGGAGTCATGGTCATGAAAGTGTATTCAGAGTAGGAGGCTGACCAAAACTGTTCAGTGTCATCCTCATCCATGTACAACAAAAAAGGTGTGTTTCTATCAAAACTCTTTCATCATTCGGACCTTTCGGACCTTGAAATATCTCACGACCATGATGGGTTCATGAATGATTGACATTATTGACGTTATTGACTGACCTTTGATCTCAAGAACTTGACACTTGATTCACTTGAAAATTTGCGTTGTCAGAAGATCTGGCTCCATCCTCCGCTCTCATCGCACCTTGGACAACGCCTCATCCGTTGCAAAGCCAATGCCCAAAGCCAACGGCCGAGACCTTGGCACAGTCACAGAGTGTCTTTGATTTGAATGTTTGGTGTTAAAGAAACGATAAAATACCTAGTGAAACAGTGGTAAAAGAAAACTTAATCTTATCTTATCTTAGTGCAAAAGACCAAGGCCGCGGCTGATCCTTGCTGTCTTTATCATCCTTACTCTCCCTGGTGGCTTTCACCACAGCGAAGTGCCATTGCAAACGTAGAAGTCCGCCCAGTCTATGAGCCTCTTCCAGTTGAGCTGCAGCATCAGCTGAGAAGAAATTCATGGCCGCCAAATCTGGCAGCGATTTCTCGTCCTCCTTAGACTCGGTTTCCTCAAAAGATGATGCTGAGACAATCACACAGGAGCTGGGACTGGCTATCTGCAAGTCCACAGCCGCTGATTTGCTGCCGGTGGAAGAAAGTCGATTGGCAATGGTCGTCTTCAATTTTTCGAGGTCCTCCGGCGAATCTGTGGATCCATTTGATCCATTGGGACCCTGCGATTCATGCACCTGGCACCAGGAGCGAAGATCCGCCTCTGATTTTCCAGCCAAGAGCTGCTCAACTTGAACCAGAAGATCTTTCATGCACTCTCTCTGTCGATCCTTCTGCTTTTGCGGTTGCCGCGAGGCAGCCATCAGGAAACCAAAGGATGAAGCTGGTCCAGAGGCACCTTTTGAGAGAATCAGCATCGTCACATTTGAATTGCTACTGGCTCTGGTGGGAGGATCAATGCCCTCGAGCCAAAATAGGCTCCAGCCCTTCTGATGCTGGAGGTGCTGGTACAGTTTGGCCCGTGCATCAGGCTCAATTTTTTGTCTCTTTTCAGGTCTTTTTTCGGGCGCTGGTCGTTTCCGATCTCTGCGGGGTGAAGGTGGCCTCCTATCTCTGTCTCGCTCCCTGTCCCTATCTCGATCTGACGGAGGGGGAGCGTGTGGAACGTGGGGTGGTGGATGTGCATGGGTTGGGGGTGGATAAGCATAGGGTGCTGGGGGATAGCCTGGTGGTGGATGTGGATAGCCTGGGTATGCAGGCGGTGGATAGTGAGCATAATGTGCATAAGGATCTGGTGGTCTGGAAGGATCATATCCAGGATAGCCTGGATAGGCTGGCGGTGGATATGCTGTAGGAGGATATTCTGGTTGTGCTGGTGGAACCCCATGGGCTGGAGGTGTCTGTGCAGCTGCGGGTGGATAAGTTGGTGGAGCTGCATGTGCTTGGGGCGGAGGGTGGCCGGCTGGAGGTGTTTGTTGGGTTTGATGCGGATCCGCTGGAGCTGCTGCAGGAGGGTAACCTGGTTGTGCTGGCGGTGGGTAATGGGAGTAGTACTGACGGTAGTAGTCATAATGCGCTTGTGCATATGGATCTTGTGCTGGTGCAGCTGGTGCTGGGGCAGCGGCAGGAGGTTGTGCTGCTGGAGCTGTTTGTGGGGCAGCTTGGGGTGCAGGCTGGGCCGCTTGGGGTTGCGGTGGATAAGCAGCAGCATACGCTGCATAGGGATCAGCTGGAGCCTGCGGAGCAGCTGGATCGGTTGGTGGAGGATACCCATACGCCGCACTTCTTGGATCGTATCCCGCTGGGTAGGCTGGAGCAGCTGGTGGGTAGCCTGGATAGCTGGGTGGAGGGTATGACATCACTCCTTTCTTCCCCTAAGATTTCTCCAGCACGTCAGAGTCGGGTGAACCAAGGAAATTCGACCTTCTCCCAAGGCGGGTCTCCACTGTTGCAACCGCTCCCAAGGAGGGTTCTTCCCTGCTGCCTGCTTCAATGACCGCAGCTCAATAAATACATTCATCCTTCTTGAGCACAAACCAGCAGCAATGTTTGCAATGTTTGGATGAGTGGTGGTCTTGGGCAAAAAACGAAAACAAATGTATGTGTGTGTGTGTGTCTGTGTGTGTGTGTTTCTCAATTTCGGAATGTATTCGTTTGAAAGATCAAGACATGCCTGAAAATGTGACAGCATGGACATGTAAATGTGACAGCACTCACATGTTTGAATCTGTTGTCCACTTTAGGTTCGAGTTTTGCAATTTTGCATGCACAACAAAACATGTCAAAAAAGACTTCGTGAATTTTCTTCCCGCCCTGCCCCCCCCCCACTGAACTCACGTGCTGAACTTGCAAATCTCTTAGCAATTCTTAATTTGTCGCTTTTGGTTGATGTAATATGTCTACCTTGATGCAATGGTTTTTCTGCTTGCCCTGCCTAGGCACATTTTTTGGCAATCTGCTGACGCTGCAGCTCTTCAAGTCCGTAGTGATACAGTCTCAGCCAAAAATAGCCTGTGCATCAACCTTAGAATGCAAACTTCTGATTTTGGGAGTTCTATATAAACAAAATCATTGCAAATGCTGAAACAACCGCGCTGACTATAACACACTCAAATTTCTCTCACAAACATGGAATGGGCCTGGTGGCAGACCACCTTCAACCCTTTGCCACAGCTGTAGGCTGCCATCCTACGGCTGCAAGATGCTCAGTTTGGCTGGGCAAAGACATAGTGACCAAGGCTGCAAATGTTGGAGATTGGTAATATCTTTCTGTATCTCCATGATTCTTTCTGTATCTTTGTTGTGTCTATTGAAAAAAAAACTTTTGAGCTGATTCTTTTCTACCAGTCCATTCGGTGTTTCCGGCCTGCGAGCCAATGAGAAAGATCCCATCATGCCCAGCACAGAGCAAGCTGTCTGTTTTTTGGCCTAGAGTTTCAGAGATCAAACACTGCAAAAGCTGCAAAAGGACAGAAAACTGGCAGGAGACCCAATTCCCACAATCCCTGCCTGGTAAGGCCTGGAATGCAGTCTTGAATTCGAAGGATGGAAGCGTGATAGTACTCACCTCGTCACCACAGCCGAAGCCGCACCAAACAGGGTCGCACAGTTCCCAGGGATTCCCACCTGCCCACGCTGATGGCCACAAAGCACACGTGGTCCTGATTCCAAGCCGGCCTCAGCATGGCGAGGATGGAACGATGGGCACCGGTTGCAAAGGTGACTTAGCAGCGCAAGGCCGCAAGGACTCTGAGACAGCAGCCAGTCTCAAGATCGGGCCAGCTTCTAGTTGCCGCATTTCGGACTTCAAGGTGCCTTCTGCATCAAAAATCTTGATGATGCCCTCTGAGTAAGCCTTGGGCGGCAAAATAGAGCCAAGATGGAAATATCGAAATGGTGACTCAGGACACAAGCTATTCGTACCCACCATAGTTGGGGCTCCGTGCTGCGATGATGTGGCCTTGAAACTCCAAAAGGTCAGCCACCGCTTTGGTAGGTGGGAGCAATTTGCTGACCTTCGCAGCGTTTCTTTTCGCAGCTAGCCATGGAGAAACGCGGTTGGTGAAAGGCACCTTCAACGTTGCCAGGTCCAGCATAGCTAGACCATAGAGACCTCCCACCTCAGATGAGACATCTCAGTTGTCAAATTGGATTTTACAGCGAACAAAGTCATGAACAGGCTCACACCAACAAAATCCAGCAAATCGACATTGCATCATTTCTGCATCATTTCTGACAGTTTTTACCTTCAAAATCCACCCGATCAGCTCTTGGGTGAAGGCAAAGAGATGCCCTCCCAGGACATGAATTTTGCTGATCGGACCAGGCCTCAGCCGAGGCAAAAACCCCAACCGAAACGCCTTGAGCGCCTTGACCGCCGTGACCGCCGTGACCGCCGTGACCGCCGGTCAGCAGCGGTGACGGACTGAGCCCAGCACAAGCTTTCCTGTGAAAAAGCACGGCTGATTGATGGAAGATACATGCAGACATATTAGTAGACTAATTGCTCAAAGTTTAGACTAATTGCAGAATAATTGTAGAATACAGTGACATGCATCACAACACATTGACTGTGAGGCGCGGCCGCGCGGCGGAGCGGCGGCACGGCAGCAAATCTCTCCTCGATCGTGTGAGTGCAGTTGAATGTCTTTGCCACGGGATCCATTTGCCAAAGGCGAACTTCTTTGTCAGCACTCCCTGACCTGCGCAACATCCGTTCAACCGTTCGATGCAAGCTTCAAACAGCCAAAAATGACACCGGAAAGGTTTCCCACTCAGCTGCCCACATCAATACACCCTGATGAACTGCGAGCGTTGTGACCTGGCAAGAGGGAAAAAAAACTGAAATCTGCTCTATTTCAAGCCTCTGCGTGATGAAGTGTGTCTCTTTGTAGCGGTTCATTATTCAATGGGTTGGTTTATGGGAGATTTTACGGGTAACCTTGGAGTTTAACCGTTTAACCCCAAACATCGGCTTTCCTATAAATTACCTGTGAATATCCTGAGATCAATGGTGGGAATCTTGAGTTCCGTGCTCTCTTGCTATGCCCCTTCAGGATTGCTTCCGAGCCGTCCTGGGCAAAGGCCTGTACCTGTGCCGGCGCCACACGTGGAAGCAACTGTGAGTTCTCCAAACGGTGCAGCAAACCAAGGTCCAAAAAACTCTGTGTTTCAATGTGATGACCAGAAATCGCACTTATGACACGCATGACACTGCAATTTGCACCTGCCCATCCCAGAGGCCGCAAAAAAGCCAACCACCACTGAAGAGGAGTGAGTGCCCTGACTCCTTCAATGGAACCTCAACAGCCATGCGGCCAGCTGCGGGCTTCCTAGCTTGTGGAATTGGTATCGGTATGTGTGTTGATCTTGGTTTCTTTCACTCAGAGACCGGTATGCAGTGAAGCGTCCCTTCAAAGATCTTGATATAAGTTTCAGTCTGCAAATCAGACTTGGAGCACCAAAAAAAAGGAGATCTTCAGAAGGCCTTTCCCATCAATTTCTCAGCATTTTGGCATTTTGAAACTGAGATTGGCGCAGTTAGTTCTGCCTCGAGTTCGAAGACACCTGTACTGGACAACTTCGGTTTCCAACGCTTCATGGTCTTGTCCTCACGCGCAGCACACGTGTGGGACCGGGATTGTCTCGTGTAGCGTCATTAGGCCCATTTTAAAGAACTGTTGCTCAATGCAAAATTGAGAAACCAAACATCAGCTGTATAATTGTACGTAAATCCATGTAAATCCCAAGAAAATGTCTGAAGATCTAAAACACGATCGAAGGAATCGGCATTTACTTGTGTATCGTGTCGGAGATCCTTATGCTTGCAAGTGCACGGATCGCGAAGCTGGTCCTGGGACGTGGTGTAGATGCCTTGTTCAGTCATCACCTAAGAAACTTCCCAACGTGCGAGAGCAGCTGCGTTCAGCTGAAAATTCTGGCAGCAGTATACTCAACACAAAAAAATGTTCAAGAAACCTTTGAAGTTCAAATGTGCCCACGTGTGCCTGAGCAAAACCAAACATTAATTTGTATGCATAACCCTATACATACATACATACATACATACATACATACATACATTACATTACATTACATTACATTACACTACACTACACTACACTACATTACATTACATTACATACATTACATACATTACATACATTACATACATTACATACATTACATACATTACATACATACATGACCTTACGTTACGTTACATTACATTACATACATTACATACATTACATACATTACACATATTACATACATTACATACAGTACATACATTACATACATTACATACATTACATACATTACATTCATTAAATACATTACATACATTACATACATTACATACATTACATACATTACATACATTACATACATTACATTCATTAAATACATTACATACATTACATACATTACATACATTACATACATTACATACACACATACACACATACATTGCATACATTGCATGCATACATACATACATACCTACATACATACTTACAAACTTACAAACTTAATACTTACATACTTACATACTTACATACTTACATTACAGTACAGTACATTACATTACATACATACTTACAAAACAAAGCTTAACAAAACATCACATCACATCACATCACATCACATACATACATACATACATACATACCTTCCTACATACATACCTTCCTACATACATACATACATGCATTGCATTGCAATGCAATGCATTTCATTACATTACACATTACATTACATTACATTACCTTACCTTACATTTCATTACATTACATTACATTACAGACATACATACATACATATATATATATATATGTGCATATACATGTATATATATATGTGTGTGTGTATGTATACATAAATTTATATATATATATATATATGTGCGTATTTTTTATGTATTTGTATACAAATGTATTTGTATGTACATTCGTGTGTTTGCCCTGTGTGGCCCCTCAGGCTTCCACCATAGCTTGTATAGAGGATCCATGAGCTCCTTTAACTTCGCAATGTCGGCCGATGGCATCGGCATCGACACGCACTACGGTCTTTGGGCGCCACTCGCGACCTGGCTGTGGCTACAGCCCCGAAAGAGAAACAACCAGGGTTTACTCATCCACGGGTTGACATTACCCAAAATCCACCGGTTCATCATTTTTTCCTGTGAAATGTCCATTTGCAGGACATATTGGGTTGGTAAAGGTTGGCGAATCAAAACCTGCAAATCAGGGCTGACCGGATTGTGAAAAATTGGGATGCCCCAGACTCTTATAATGTCTTCAAAACCAAGAGAAGCAAAGGCATCTCTTCCCAAACCCATGCTTTCGTCACCTCCTTTGTGTCCTTTGCCTTTGCCTTTTCCCTTGCCATCTCTCGATTCTCTGCCGTCTCCTTTTCCTCGAGTAATGTCCAGCCCGCCCAAGCAACAAAACAGAAGGGGGATGAAATATATGAAATGATTGCTGCGTATTTCATGAAACATCATGAAACTGTATTCCCAGGTATTTCAGACCATTGGCAACTTGGACATAACATGACATAAGGCATTCCCAGCGTCCCCAACTTGCTCCACGCCGTGGCTTCAGGGCCTGTCTACAGTTTGCTGTGTCAGCACAGCACTAGGAGCAAATCACAACCCTAGTACGGTCCAACATCTAGCAATTTATGATCAAGGTTCTTACTAATTTTAGTTCTGGGTAATTGGTTGTCCAAGCGCTGAGGCATCAACAGAATCTGACTTGAGCACATGCCGGGTGTCATGACCCCAATGCGAAGAATCTTAGCAGTCGGAAATGGCTTGAAACTGGAAGAGAAACGAGATTCAATGGCTGACATGCACATCAAGTTTATTACCCTACTAGCCGCACTGAATACCACTGAATCTTGCAGGCTTTCCATTTGGTCACTGCCAATCTGAAGCTGCAAGTGCAGCGTGCTGCAACAAAGGAGTGAATTTCAGGGCCAGACTTGTGCGGCCACGACCTCTACCACGTCCTGGGCTGCATGCACTCGGGACTTGAAGTTCTTGTTTTTGCCGTCCTAAAATCATTTTGTCATATAGCCAGATTGGAGGCTATTATTATTATCGATTGCCAGCGAGTTGTGCAGTCCCGGATCACGAATCCAGTCTTGTCCTCGCAATTCTCTATCTCGGTTGTCATATGATATATGAACCAGCAGCTGCCATATATACGGCGTGTATATATATATATACATACATACATATATATATGTGTGTGTGTGTGTGTATGTGTGTGTGTGTATGTATACATATCTGTGTGTCTGTGTGTTGGGGTGTGAGTGTGAGTGTGTGTGTGTGTACGTACGTGTTGAACATTCCATTTCATGACTGCTCATATATTCACGTACGTGCATCGCCTGAAGTTTCAAATCATCTGCCCATTGAAGTTTGACTCCAGGTCTACCCAGGTCTCCCCAGGTCCTGTGGCGACGGTCTTTGAGACCAAGCCCCATGTCCAGCTGCCATCTCGACGGCCATCAGATCGGCGGCCGGCGCCGCGGCCGCGGCCACGCTCCGACATGACTACGACGTAAACAATCAGGAAATGATTCGGGCATGATTTCGGAAAGTTGTCTGAAAATTGGCAGTGCATGACATGTCTAACCGTCTAACCGTGCATCTTTCTGATCTGCTTTCATTGCAAACTTTGTTGATGGTGCGTTACAAGGTGCTGTCATCTAAAATCCTTCGTCGTTTAACATGTTCCCTTCGATGGATGATTGAGAGCGGGTTTTGTTTCGGTTTTAGCGATGCTTTCCGCATTGACTTGTGTCTTAAACAGCCTTTTCTTAAACCCGGACATCATGTTGCCCAGTGCTTTTTGACATTCTGAGCCCAAGCTTGCAGGTACGGCAGGTGTTGGAATCTCCGGACACTTCAAGCGTGGACTTGGACAAAGTCTAGGCACCATCCTTCTGATTCAACAGCAATGCTGCATAGATTTGCGCAGGCTCTTAATTCTCTTAATGCATTTCTCATCTTTTGCGAGCATTCTTGGTCCCTGCAATCTGCTCTTGGCCTTCAGAACCAGCTAGACCCAGGTTCCAGTTCCAGCACGGCACATCCAGCATCATCTAATCATCCCGAAACAGCGATTGTTCCCATATCTCACTGTAAACCCCGAAGATGTGCCCTCAGCTTGACTAGTTGCTCCGTCAATCAGCTAAGCTGCTTTAAGAAGCTGTTGGCCACCGCCTCGCGGTGCTGAAGACGATGATCTACAGTCAAACTCGAATGTCACGGCGAACTTGAAGTAGTTGGGTACAGTGGCTTGTGGTGATTCAGGATGGTGAGATTGCAAAATCACCAATGGCAACCAATGACAAAATGCCTCTTCAGTTCATCTTGCATGGACGGAGCGAAGAAAGGAAGTGAGTGAAGTGAGATTGGGAAACACGGACTACAAGAGAGATTGGACATGGTTTCACCCTCAATGAGGCTTAATACCACCAGGGGTTGATTGGACCTGATCTGATTGGGTTACTATCCGATTCTTTCAGGTTCGCCATGGTTCGCCACATGCGTGCGAGAAATGCAGTCAGCGCCCCGTCAACTGGCACCAAACGCTCGGTTTCGCCTGGGACGGGCCCCACTCAATGCTTCCAAAAATGCACTGGAAAACCAGGACCACCACAGCATGAGCTGCCGCTATGGTGAATTCACAAAAATGTTTGCAGAATGAATCTGCAAAAAACCACTAATGAGATAGCATGCAAGGCACTAAATCGCCTGGCCACAACCGCGACCTTTTGTTTTGTATCTTCAGAGTTACAAAGGTTGCCAGACCCTGATGACTTTAAAACCCTTCCATGCAAATAGTTTCTCCACTCATCCATCGTCGGTCCCATCGAAAGCCGTGAAGACGTGGAATTCCATCACCTGCCTCACCAAGCGTGGACGGGACGATCAGCTACTCCGCTCAGATCACTAAATTTGTGCAATGCTAGCCCAAGCGAAGTCGATCGTTACATCACGTGTATGCATATAATACAGGAAACTATATGCATATACACAGATTTGTTTGTATATATATATATATAATATATGTTTTAATTATACATATATATATATGTGTGTGTGTGTATGTATGTGTGTATATATATATATATGTGTGTGTGTGTGTGTTCACGAAATGCTGCCTGTTCAACATGTATCAGAACGCAATCCAGGATCTCCCATGCGCGCACTGCAGCCGGAAGGGAAAAGGCCCAGGTTGTGCCTGTTGGCGGGTGGGATCATTCGCTTGCAGCCATTGGAGAAAAGGTTGCGGTCGTGTGAGGTGCAGGGCGCCAGGACATATCATCTCACCTTTGTTGTGGCATCTCCCTACCATATCCTTTGTGATTGGTAGCGGAGCACTGGCTCCGATAGCTCCCAGGGACATCCAGGTTGTGTCCAGTTTGGTCACTTGTCGTGAACCTTGAGGCGAAGGTCAACATGAGTGAAGCATCTGGGGGCGAAAGAGACAGTGTGTTCCGAAGGAATTAGCCAGTCTGGTTCCTAGTTTTGATCCTGCTGTTGACAATGTTGAGATTTGGACTAGCAAAGTTGAACTTTTGGTCACCACATGGGCGCCATCCACGCTAGCAGAACTTGCCACTCTGAACTGCAAGGGCACGGCAACTATCCTGCAGGAATCAAACGCCTGATGGAATTGGTAAGGGGAACATGGGGTAAAATCTCTTTGGAAAAAGTTTGAACTCGCCGGGAAGGCCCTTTACCGAGGAAGCCAGAAACCCGAGTATGTATGTATGTATGTATGTATGTATGTATGTGTGTGTGTGTGTATGTGTGTTTGTGTGTATGTGTGTATGTGTGTATGTGTGTATGTGTGTATGTATGTATGGATGTATGGATGTATGGATGGATGTATGCATGTATGCATGTATGCATGTATGCATGTATGCATGTATGCATGTATGCATGTACGAATGTATGCATGTACGTATGTACGTATGTACGTATGTACGTATGTACGTATGTACGTATGTACGTATGTACGTATGTACGTATGTATGTATGTATGTATGTGTGTCTATGTGTCTATGTGTCTATGTGTCTATGTGTCTATGTATGTATGTATGTATGTATGTATGTATGTATGTATGTATGTATGTATGTATGTATGTATGTATGTATGTATGGTATGTATGGTATGTATGGTATGTATGGTATGTATGGTAATGTATGTATGTATGTATGTATGTAATGTATGGTATGTATGGTAATGTATGTATGTATGGTATGTATGGTATGTATGGTATGTATGGTATGTATGGTATGTATGTATGTATGTATGTATGGTATGTATGTATGTATGTATGTAATGTATGTAATGTATGTAATGTATGTAATGTATGTAATGTAATGTATGTATGTATGTAATGTATGTAATATATGTAATGTATGTAATGTATGTAATGTATGTAATGTATGTAATGTATGTAATGTATGTAATGTATGTAATGTATGTAATGTATGTAATGTATGTAATGTATGTAATGTATGTAAGTATGTATGCATGCATGCATGCATGCATGCATGTATGTATGTGTGTATGTGTGTATGTGTGTATGTGTGTCTGTGTGTCTGTGTGTCTGTGTGTCTATGTATGTCTGTATGTATGTATGTATGTATGCATGCATGCATGCATGTATGTATGTATGTATGCTGTATGTATGTATGTATGTATATTCTCTTGCACTGAGATTTGTGTTCGAATTCCTCACTGGCTCGCATCCCCGCTGCCTTGGCTCAGCTGCTGGTGGATCTGATCTGCCAGGCTGCGGGCCCACCAGTCATAGCCCTCTTCGTTGGGGTGCATCAAATCAGCGGAAAAGAAGGCCTCCCCAGCGGACCCCACTGGGAAAAAGGATCGGATCAAAATGGTGAGGAAGATGAGAAATAATTGAAATCACAGACGAGGTGGAGCAAACTTGGGCAAATTGCAGGAAATTGAAGGAGAATTGTGAGAATACGATGGCCATTGCAAGTCCAGCCTCCCTCCGCACCCCAGGTGGTGGCAAAGGAAATGGCAAGACCTCCACCAAAAGCAAAACACGAACAACTGTAGCTGCGCCTTCGGCTTGCTTCTGTAATTCACACTGCGGAACTCTGTATTTGCGTTCGAAGTCAGAACATGCGCAACCCTGAGCGACGGTGTTCAGCCTGAGCATTGTCGCACCAACCAACAGCCTGCGCCATACAATCACCAGCCAAGCACCAAACTGGGCATGGTGGAGGCATGGTCAACCTCATGGAAACCACTCCACAGGCGCGCCTTTCGCTTCTCACGTTCCCACAATCTGCACAGGGGCAGTAAGAACAGTTTCAGGGGATAGCGCTGGAGCATTGGAGCATCTGCCATCTCAACGGCTGGGAGGAACACGGCCCGCACCTAGGGCTGGCAAGACGGTATGCACACGACTGCTCACCACAACCAAAGAGAAACAAACTACTAAGTCTCTAAGTGCTTTGACTTAAGACCGGCAGTTCCCTAGAACTCGAGCAAAGAATGGGTTGGTAGTTTGTTTGTAGCTCTTGTTAGCATTGAGTTTGCGTTCCATTGTGCGTTCTCATGCAGCTGGTACTTGGCGCAGGCATGTTAGAAAAAAGAAATTGAGGTTTCAATGATTCCACAGCGCAATGCATTCCAGCAGCTTCACCAGCAAGGTTTCCCAGGTCCTTCACAAGTCGACGCAGCCGCAGTCGGTATCCGAGCCTCATGGCTCGGTTGGGCAGTCCAATTCTTTTCACATCTGTAGGTTACCTCTTGGAACATGAGCCGTATATAGCATAAAGATGCGCATACCTACCTTACATAAATACATATACATTTTTTACGCATATGTAGATACATTTACACATCTGTGTGTATACATAAGTATATGTCATGTACCCATTTTACATGTGTTACTGCTATAAAAGCATACTTGTATGCACTTTTTTGCGCGCACACAAACAAAGATGAGATGCATGACGTGATTTTTGTATATCCGCATATACACGCAGAAAATATCTCTACATATCTATATTCAATTATTTGTTTGTGCAATTGATTTTATTCATGTAATTTTGCTTATATATTCATCTATCTGTACATCTGCTCATATATTTTTACTTATATATTTCTAATTTGTTCATTTATTCGTTTATGTATTTATGTGAATGTGTGTATATGCAAATGTATATATATGGATATGTGTAAATATAAATGTAAATATATATATATATATATATTGAATATGGATATGCATATATGGATGTGTATCTTTACATGTCGATTTATATGTATATCTTTATTCATGTTTATATTGATGTTTATATTTTATGTTTATATTTCTGTTTATATTTTGGTTTATTCCCGAGAGCGCCTGCGAAGAGTTCTTCGTAAAAAAGCAGCCGTTGTAATACATCTTCACTCCCTCACATCTGCTGATCTACATCTTCACACCTTCACATCTGCTGATCTACATCTTCACACCCTCACATCTGCTGATCTACATCTTCACACCCTCACATCTGCTGATCTACATCAAAGCCAAAAAACCAGGGAAATAGTGCTAAAAATGCAAGCTTCCCACATGTCGCATTGAATCCGCAAAATTGGCTCGCGTTGGGCCCCACTTGGCCCGGCCTGCGCCCAACTTGGGCCCAAGCTGCGCCGTTATGGACGCAGCTGGACCCCAAGTTGGCGCCAATTGGTCATGTTGGGTTGAAGTTGGGCCCAAATCGATCCAGATGGATTCCAACTTGAAGCCATGTGACGCACATGAAAATCCAAATCAGTTCTAACATGCGGCAATTTGGCACCTTTGGCCAACGGAGACTCAACATGGGGAACATTGCTTCGTCATCCATAGCCAAAAAAAACATGGAAAATACCAATGAAAACGGGCATCTTGTGGATTTCGGATTGGGCCGGTCATGCCCCCCATTTTGAAGCTATATGGGCCTCAGAGCCAAGTTGGGCCGAAGTTGGAGCCAATTGGTCCAAGTTGGGCCGAAGTTGGGGCCTTGCTGGCCGAAGTTGGCCCCAAGTCAGGCCAATGTTGCGGCCATGTTGGATCGAAACGGTGCATTTGGACGATTTTGCGCCTATCTGCAAAATGTATCAAAATTTGTAAATGACCACAGCGGGGAACTTCTTTTTGGGGGGGAGTCCCAGTCTGACAGATCTGTCCGCATCCCTCGCTACTAAACTACCATGCCCTGGCACCTTCGGTGCGTATGGATAGAAATATATATATATATCTATATCTATATCTCTATATCGATCTATCGATCTATCGATCTATCGATCTATCTATCTATCTATCTATCTATCTATCTATCGATATATCTATCTATCTCTATCTATCTATCTGTCTGTCTATCTATCTATCTATCTATCTCTTTCTATCTCTATCTATCTACCTATCTATCTATCTATCTATCTCTATCTCTATCTCTATCTCTATCTCTATCTCTATCTATCGATCTATCTATTTATCTATATATCTATATCTCTATTTGTCTGTGTACCTATATATCTTTATATAATATCTTTATATCTATATATCTACGTATCTATATACCTATATATCTGTATATCTATATCTATATCTATATCTATATATGTGTGTGTGTCTGGATATATCTATATAATATATATGTGTGTGTATATCTATATATCTGCATTTATATATATTTATATTTGTGCTCATGCCTATGCATGGCACTGAAAATAAGAATGTGCCGGTGTAGATGGTGAAGTCCCAGTCGCCTGAGGCGTCGGAAGTCGTTGACACCAGCCACCAACACGACGATCACCTCTGGAGCGACTTGGTCGTTGCACGCCTGCCACTCTTCGACGTGCAGTGAAGCAACGCAAAGAACGTCGAAGAACTGGACAAAAAACATGTCCCCATGATGGGATAACATGGCCTAACCGGCTAATCCTTTAAAAGATAGTATGAGTTTTGAAAGTTTTGACCCTCAAGCCCCGCCAAATTTGAGGAAGAATCCTTTGCCTTCACTGTTGTGGCAAAAGCACCCCGCTGCGCGGGCTCGAGTCTTTCAGTGTATTCCTTCACCTCCTCAACTTTCTCTCTGAGCCTGTGAAGGAAATCATGCAACGCATGCCATGTTCCGAACTCATGCAAATTTCAAACCAACACATCCTACACCGTGACTGCATATCAGCACATCTCTTCAGAACAAAATATCACAAACATGCTTTTCCATCCGGCGTGCCACCGGCTCAAACCAGTGCCCCACTGGCCTTGGCAACCCGACAGCTGTCAGCTTCTCCACATCAGCACCAGTGATACCCACAGCTGCCTCGGAGCAAGTTGCTGCCAACAGCTCAGAATCTGTTGCTGGCAGAGGGGCCTGTAGTAGATGGCGATGGTATTCTAAAAGGAGATCTTGTCCAATCACCAAAAAAAATAATTAATTTGCGAAGTAAAGACCTTGTCACACACCCAGATGTCCACCAAACCGAATTGTTTTTTTCCCTAAAACCTAAAGGGCGAACAATCCTTCGAGCGCAGTAACCTTGAAGAAGAAAATACATACAATGGCAGGTCCAGAATTACTTTAGGATTTGGCTGAGGCACCCATCGAATCTCACCAATTCTATCTGCTAAATGAACCGCAACATTCCTGCAGTCAAGGCGATGGGCGACATGTCACCCCAGTATCAGTCAATGCAAACCTACTGTGTTGTGTCCTCGGCAAAGCTGCCGGCACCGGGGCACCATGCGCCTGCCAAAAATGCCCAAATATGTTCATTTTCCTAAGTGGCGGTACGAAACATTATGGGAAACCTCCATGTTTTGGATGTAAAAGCCGTCTTTCCCGATGTTTTTTAAAATGTGCTCACTGTTGACACTTGGATCGAGTGAGTTGTACCATCGAAGAAAAATAGTTCAAGCGCTGGAGAACCCATTCCAAACCACAGTCGCATTTATTTTTTCCCGAAATTTTGCTGTGCCTGTGCGCCGACACCGCTCACCAAAGAATCTCCGAGAAAGAGCAGCAAGATTGGTCGATGATCATGCATCCTGTCAAAACAAAGAGGGGAATGCAATCCAAATGGGTTGGTAGCAAATAATGCCCAACAACATGCTCATGCATACCCAAGCACTCCTAATGCCAGCAAATGATTGCATACTGTGGGTCTGACCTGCTTGAGGAACTCTCAGCATGCCTTCCGGGCAACCATCTCGGGCCTGGTTGGCAAAGTCTGCGAGCTCGCTATGGTGTGACAATTTGTTTTCATCGGGATTGCACAGCCTTACTTTTCCCATGGGTTCGATTTCGATGCTATTTTTTGTGATTTTTTATCGTACACGGTTGCTGCGATTTGGTTTGCCCATTGCCTTTTTGGTTAACGTCTTGGGTGGTGGAGACCTGGCCTTCGAGCCCTTCCATTGGCCCAAGGCAAGCAGCGGCTCTCATCCGCAAGCACTTCCATTGAGTTCGCAAATCCCAAGCCTGAAATCTCGGAAACCAAAACTGGAAGAATCCAAATTCCTCACCGCCTTTGGGTGCCACAAAACCCCCACCAAACAGACACTCAAGCTCTGGTCACTGCAGAAAGAAAATGCATTCCACAAATCGCCCCAAAATGTTTCAATATCATAAGTCCGGGGGTTGTATTACTAATTGTTTGCTCCCGTTTTTTTTAACTATATAGTTTCGTGGCCGTTTGCCTGCTTCAAAGCGATTGAGGCTGCCAAACCAGTGAGGCCGCCAGTTGCTACAACCACTGTGCCTGGGAAGAAGGGATGGAAAAAAGAACGCAATGAATACCCACAATTGACATCAATTGACAATCAAATTCACCATGTGGAAGAAAATCCTAGTCAACAACCATGCAAGTTTTCCAACATAAATTCGGCATGCACTGGGAAACACTCACTTGGCAACTTTTGTTCAAACGTTACAATAAGACAGCCTCAAGCAACCTCAAGTAGCCAAGCGACGCCAGTGCTTCCACCGCAAAAGCGGAGGTTTTAACATCATCATCATCCGCATATGGGGTCGCTTTCATGAAGTATATGAAGTGGCCTCCAATGTTTGAACACGTTCATCTCATTTTTTGTCATTATTGTTGTTTTGACCTCTCTTGTGCCAATCCTGTATTCCATATCATTTTAACCGGGCCGAAAAAATGCACCGTGACAAGGCGGATTGCAATCCTGAAAATAACCGTATGTCAGCACCAAAAATCGAAAGCATCCAGTTTGTCTTTGGAACAGGTCATGAATTATGTAGTTGTCTGGTCGAAACAAACGCATAAGCAAAACATTGAGGACTTGGGGCAGGTATCGACGGTGGGGAGCCACTTGCGACACATCAATTGTTGGTTGTTGATACGCACGGTTCCCTTTGGGTGGTGGCCATGCCTGGGACGGTTTCCAAAAATTGTGTTCTGGCGCATTATTGGTGCAAGCGGGCCTGGTGGCGCTGCGAGCCCAACCACCGGCAAAACATACATATGGGGTTTGTCCAAAATTATGGTACCCGAAAACGCCCTTACGCCGCACTTTCGCGAACCTTTCGCGCCCTTTCGCGCCCCAGCAGAATCGGGACATGAGATGATGATCAGGTTTTCGTTTACTTATAGGTTTATAAATATAATGGTATTCAGACCTTTCGCGAACCTTACGCCGCCCTTTCGCGGCCTTTCGCCACTGCAGCAAAACATGCACATCCATATCTGCAGATGTCACTCGGATACTAAAAGCCTTGCATGGGTTTTAGGACGACTCCCATATAGACCGCCTTATTCACAAAAGAAATGATTTGGGAACCATGCGAAACGATTCGTCTTTGATTTTTCGTTCGTTCACGATCACCAAATCAAATCCCGTGACGGCAAGTGGTTCCAATGATCCAAACGGTGATTACTTGGTCGTCTGGGTTCCCGCGACCAAGTACTCACTTGCGCACGTTCACTTTCAAAATTCGGGGTTCATGGTGCGGAGTGGCGCAAGTGGAACATGGTGAAACATCAACTGTTTTTGTGGTGGCCCGCTCTGCAAAGCGAAACAACCATGATCCGCACGACCTTTTGGTCGGTTTTCGGCGTGTTGATGACATTTTTTTCGCTACGACGGAATGTCGGCGAACGCAACTGGAATGATTTGGAGGACATTGTTGGTTGCGTTAGCAAGGGTCGGGAAGGTAATTTTAACATCTTTCACCTTTGGCGAAAACACAAACATTTTGCGCGGTACCGTGAAGCTAAGATGTAGGTGGGCCGTTGCTGAAATAAAATGTTCATTGTTGCTAGCAATGATATCCTTCACATTTCTTTCGGGGTCCAATGAAACGATTCCCACACACAGACACGTTTGACACTTCATGGCACCGCATTGTCTTCACGATGCTGCCTAAAACCGAGGAAACTGCGAAACGACACGGTTGGAGACCCATGGCTATTGGGTGGCCTGTTGCCGGTTTGTTGCCATTTCGTTGACGGCAACTGTGGAAGCAGACCAAACTCATTTTCGATCAGGTTCACGCATTGACAACAAATGTCTGTCTCTTAAAATTTGTGTGGTGAAGTCTTTGTGGTGGGGAACCTTCCCTTGGCTAGCGGCCCTTGTTTGAAGGAACAAATGAACAGGATCGAACACAAAATGTTGTTTGCGGCACATGTATATATTATATATTCATATGAAATATCTTGCATGCGTTGTATGCCAAACAAACCGGACATTGCCGGAAATTGTCTTGTTCGCTACATTCCCCGGCAACATCATACAAAGGGATGTGCCAAGCCCCTGCGTTGCAGTCGGCATTCCCGAAATGGAAACAAATAAATAAGGGATGCCAGATCCACACAGCGCGTCACCAGCATTCGCCCTGCAAACATTGTTTCTGATGTTTTATACGTTGGGATTATTGATTCTGGGGGTTGTTTTCGGATTTGAAAAATATACGTTGAAGACAAACAGATTGACATCATGTGCTGAACATTATCCATCCTTGCAACATTAGTTGCGGAAATTTGTTGGCAATTCTTGGCGGGTAACTTAAACCCAAATAGTTTACTCGCAAATTTTCTGCACATTTCGACTTTGGACGCATACTGAAATTAAAACATCGGGTGCAATGCCCAATTGCTTCGCTATGATAGCTAGATTTTCCCTGAGTCCGATCGCGAGTTCTCCGAACCCTCCTGGCCGAAGGCAAACTCATGAAGTAAGTGCCCCACTGCCAGTGATGCCGTCCAATGTGTTAGGTCCACGGTGTGATGTCTGCTACGTACCGACCAAAATTGTTGGCCGTTTTCCCCTTCCAGAAATGCGAAAATTTATGCCGTTGTTTTTTTTTTTCGTCGCACTATCCTGTAATGAATTCCCACGTCTATGGCGGGTTGCCGCCAACGGATTATTTTTGCACTGGGCAGCCACCAGTTGTGGACAATCCTAATCTCAAGTCGAGGTCGGAAATGGGGTGGCAAGCGGCGGTTGGAGGAGTGTGGTGGTGTCTGGTGAAAAGATCTCCCGACACAATGGCGAAAAATATGGCTGGTAGGAAAGTTTACATCCCAATAGTTTTCGGCGTTCAAAATCATATGTTCCAGGTTTTCCTTGCACACTATTCGGCATTTAATTTTGAAGTATGCGATTGAAAACGCCAGCATGTGAAAGTAATTCGGCCTATCCAAAAGAAGAAAACAAAGCTGCCGCTTATCAAACTTGGTAAGGAAACATTCGCAGGATCCGATTTGCAGATATTCATTTTGGTCGAAACAGTCGTGCCTGCGGAAGGCATGCAACCTGGGTGTCTATGCGCAGCCAATACCTCGAGCAATGCTTCTGTTCGTATCCCTGGCTTGAGCCCCAAGAGGGCTGAAAACATGATACGAGTAATGTGTTGAATACAAGCGGCTCAGGACCTGGCAGGATTTGAGCCCACAGCCACCTGCTTCCAACACCACTTCAAAATTCCCGGGAAGTTAGGGTGGAGGAGAGGGGGGAGGTGTTGGAGTCAAGCTTGCCCCTCCCTTTAATGAAGCAACGGTAATTCCAGCTAGTTACCGCTAACCTTCGTCATCAGCTACACGTGTTCGAAATAAAGTCCTGATTGCAAAATAATGATTTGTAAACAAACCTTTTCGTGCTCGACCGGACAATCCAGAAACGTGACTTGCAAACCATGGATTGCGCATTTCGGAAGCTACTTCGGAAGATGATTCGTCCTCCTGATCCTGTTGGTTGGACCCGTCTTTGGCATGAAATTGTGCATATTTGGAACCGCAAAATTCGTGTTCTGTCTTGGTGCCCACTTGGCCGCCTTGGTCCGGGAAATCCGCGACATCATTGGCTTACCAAAATTATTGACTTGTCCCGGTACAAACAACTGGGCACTGGGAAGGTGTAGCCGCACAAGGTGAAACCTGGTTAAGACTTACAGATGATTTTGTTATGCGTTGCAATATTATTGGGTGGGTGAAACATTAGTGTCCAAGTTTTTTCTATATATTTTTTGTTTGCTTGCGCCCAGGAGGGCATGCAGGGACTCGACTCGACTCTTGCTCGGAAAAGTGTGCTGTACGCATTAAACTAAAAACGTGGGCTTAAACAGGCATTTGCAAGGTGTGAACGGGTTCCGTTTATGTTGTTACTTGTTTCTTCAACTAATGAACGGTCCCGTGCCAAGGAGCAGCCGATGCATTGCGAGATTTTTTCCCGTGTGGCAAATCAATTTGACAAATTGTTCGCTCATTGAAACAGGAAAGTGGACATAATTATCACCGTTGCGAAACCGTCGGAGGGTAATGAATGTTAACTTGAATGATGATTTGACCATCTGAAACTTGGGCGGAGCAGCGACCAGGAAAAAACACCCTTGAGGTGGGAAAAAAAAACCTGGCCGATGCCCAAAACCAGAGCCACTCATGGACCCAGGCCCCGCTGCACAAACCCCACAGGCCAAGAGAAAAAAAATTAAGAGGCATGCAGGCCAAATGCCCGACACAGCTTGGCCGAGTCAGGGCCAACCAAAGATGGTCGGAAAAAACAAGGATGCCTCTCACTGCCTCAGCAAAAAGCGGCCCCCACGCAAGGGTCGAAGACAACGAAGACCAGAAGAGATCCACGTGGCCATCCCAGCCGGAGTCCGGCAAGCCATCCGCACAACGACCAAAGCTCAAGCAACGAGCTCAGCACGGCGCCGCAGCGCAGCAAGGCCCTCCAGCTACGCACCAGCACGCGGGTTTCCTGCAACAAAGTGGGCCCGCCTGCGCCGAGTTGCACATTCAACGGCACAAAATTGTAAGCAGTAATTGATTTTCAAAGGAAGTAACGAAGTTCCAACCAGGAGTCGTTGACACAGGCAAAGAAAGGGAATCCTGCGTTCTGATGAGCAGCCGAAATTGATCCCACAAAGAAATGATAATGCAGATGTTGAGCGTTTTTCCGGGACAATCATTTTTTTATCGGAGGGAAAAATGCATCATTTGATCAATGTGAAATGTCCCCAGTTTTTAAACCATTATCCAAATCATTTTTTTTTTGTTTCTCATTGGTTTCAGCCATTTTGACGCAAATTTCCATCATTGTTTTGGACATGTTTTTGCGTGGAACAAGCGTTGCAGCAACAATGAGGCAGCCCTCAATCATGAAAAGTTCGACCCACGGGTCTGAAACCACAGAGCTTCGTCGCCCCCGGATGATGTGGTGGAATAAACTCGTTGCCTGCGCTCGCCGGAAGAGCATTGCCGAATGGTGACAACAAGTTGGCGACCAAAATTCCTGGGCCAACAATTGCCAACTTGCACGGGTGCTGTCTTTAATGTTCGGAGATGTTCAAAGTTTTTAACTGGCACCCGGAACCTCCTGAGATTAATCTGGATTTTTGTTCATGTCAAAAATTTCGCGCAAATTCAGCCCAAATTCAGTGCATAAATGGTTGAAATTCTGGAAAAGCGTGTTGTGTTGCTGCATGTTGCTGCCCCTTATGTGAAACCATTCCAAAACATCCGTTTTTCGCGTAACACGACCTTTGCATGTAGGAAAGCT